GGGGGGGGGGGGGGGGGTTGGGGAAAGGTATAATTAGATTTTTTTTTATTTAAGGGGGACTCACATATGTATGTATTGTATTTTAGAAGTTGAGTCTAAAGATAAATACACAAAGATAAGTGGGTTCAATGACACAAAATAAATTAGTTGGGTTTAAAGGTAAACTAGGGTAAACTTTTGGGACTAAAAATAAAAACCCCTATAAATAAATAGTCCTAGGCAACTTTCAAAATTTGATAAAACCTGGTGGGGGTGTTGGGGATTTTATGGAGATTAATCTGTAAAATTAAACATTAAACGAATTAACGACACCGATGAAAATACCACAAGCAAGCAAACATCGAGATTTAACGTAGTTCGGCAAATCGTGCCTACGTCCATGGGGCAATCCAGAGAGAAATATTTTACTATGAATCAAGAGTACAATCCCTCCAAGTTACACCTGAACTTGAGGATTAAATCACAAGAGAAAGATACAGTGTTACCTCTAGGGCACCAAAACCTTCAAAAATCATCTCACAAAAATCTCCAACTCTCATAGAGAAACCAATATTGTACCCTCGATGGCGCCGTCGTTCTGAAGACAACGGCTTTTGAATCACTACAATCGGATAACCGAGCGATCCAGAATCTAAATTTCTCTCTCTCTCTCTCTCTCTCTCTCTCTCTCTCCTCTGGGTTACTGTAACCGACACTGTTATCGGGTTACTGTAGCCGACACTGTTATCGGGTTACTGTAACCGACACTGTTATCGGGTTACTGTTCCTCTAAATATTGATCTCAGGGTTCTCTTATATAGAATTCTTCAAACCTATTCCTATTTCAAGTAGATCATCCAAATCCTCTTCTAAATAGAGTTCTAATCCATGTAGACTTCTTATAGATAGAATTATAATTCATGTAGACCTCCTCATGTGGGCCTTATCTTGGGCTAGACCCACAACAATCTCCCCCTTCAGCCCAAGGAGGAGATATGCCAATCTTTAACTCCTCAACGGGAGTTCATACTGGCCAATCGCCGACATAACTCAATATTCTCTCTAGAAACGATCTTCGTTAAAAAATCTGCTGGATTTTCATCTGTGTGAATCTTCTGTAACTTTAGCTCCTCTTTCTCAATAGCTTCTCTAAGCCAATGATATCTCACATCAATGTGCTTCGTCCTGGAATGGAATGTAGAATTCTTGCACAAATCAAGAGTACTTTGACTATCAATGAAGATTTGATAATTATCCTACTGTAACCCTAACTTCTGCAGAAATCTTCTCAACCAAATCATCTCTTTATCGGCTTCTGCAGCTACAATATATTTCACCTCTGTTATAGATAAAGCAACACACTTCTACAACCTGGACTGCCAAGATATTGTTCCACCTGCAAAAGTTAACAACCAACCTGAGGTAGACTTCCTGTGATCG